AATTTACTGATGTGTAGGATATATAACATTTTATCTTATTAGTTATTTTTGATAGAAAACTTTGCGGAACATAAACTAAAAACCATTAATGATTCAAGTCTATACATGAAAACTATATGAATTTCTACTATATAAATAAGTGTATATATACCTTGATCCATGATAGTATGAAAACCTTTTTTGAGAAAAAGAAACTTTGAATAGAAGACCTTGATCTTCAAGTTCTTTATTTGTCTAAGATTTTCAAACCACTTCTCTCTCTCTAGGCGATAGGAGCCTTCTTGTGGTGACAACTTGAGCTTTTGTGATGGAGAGTATGGCTTGGGACTTTACACTATTTATACTAGTATTTTTCCCATCAAAGAATCCATTCATTCAATGAACTTCATTAAATAGATTAATGTATCTTTTACATTCATGATACATAATGCATCTTCTATATTAATGAACTCATTAGATAGATTAATGTATCTTCTACATTCATAATCGATACATAATGCATCTCTAAGATTCATTCATAATGAATCTATCACATTCAATACATTGGCACTATCTCTATTAATCTTCTGTATATTATGTATATATAGGTGCATTCAACAATAATTAGTCACCATCTAATTGATGTACATGTATCTTACTTAATGAGATGAATCTTGTATAATCATGTATAAGCCACATTAAGCCATATTTAGGAAAAATTCTTACAATTTTAGTCTTTCTTTTTTTCTTTTTTGTTTTTATTAACTATTTTAACCAAAAAAAACTCTTCCCAAACATGGCCTAAATAAAATTTACCTAATCTAAAACATTTCTCATCTTTTTTGTTATTTATTTATTTTTTGATCAAAATTGTAAGATATTAATTTGTTAATAAAATTATATTATAACTAAAGAAGTCATTGCTGATTCATCAATTTAAATTTTTGACTTTTCCCTCGCCACACTTTAAAATGTGACTACAAATCACTCAACCAAACTCAATATCTAAAAACTTTACTCATCTTTAACACCCAAATATCCTATCGATAACCACTTGAGCACTTGTTCGGTGTCCACGACGACCATAATGAGCACCGACTAATTGAGTTGGTGGTTTTGTCGTAGTATTGCACTGACCTAACGGACACCGATTCTGACTATCTAGGGGAAAAAATAATACTAATAATACAGTTAAGAGAGATTTTTTGAGAAATTTTTTTAAAAATTTATTTAGTTGAAAATTTTTGGAAAAAGAAATTCAAAATCACTTTTATCTCTCCTCTCCTCTATCATTCTCTCACATCTTACACATTAATCAATCACTTTTTCTCTTACATCCATTTATTCAACTAAAAAAAAAAAAAATTTAAATCATTCCAAACTCTGAAATTTCAAAACTATTTTCAAAAAATACAATCAAACAAATTTTTTAAGTTTATAAACTTTTTCCAAAAAATTATTTTTCAAAATTATTTCATAAAATATAAATAAAACATTAAAATACCGATTCTTACTCATCAACAGTGAAAGAAACAGGAAAAGTGTTTGGGTGTGCAAGGTGCGTACCATATGCACTTTTGTAAGTTTTCACAAATATACATAAGTTATCTCACAAAATCGTGTAATTTCTCACAAATATACATAAGTCCAATAACATTTATATTTACTGTTTAAGAAATTCTACTATACACACCCTCACCATATGCACTCTTAAGTTTTGTCATTTTCTTCTTTAGGTACGACTAATTTTTTTTTAATTATGATTCATGAGATTTTTAGTTATGCCTCATATATTGTTTGGTTATAATTATTATTTTTTAGTTATGACTTAAAAAGTATGAAATTATGTCATTTTTTTTTTAAATTATGAAATGCATACGGTGCACACCCTTGTGTAAAAATTTTAAATTATAAACAAAAAATATTTGGATCTATTTTTGTTTTTATAAAATTTCTTAAATTCTTATAACATAATATAATTTTTTTTAAAACAACTTTTTATTTATTCTTTATTTTTTCATCCCCACCAACCATCACCCATTACGCATCACTCATCACTCATCACTCATCACCACTGTTGTCTACTACATCTAGCCACCGTTACCAACAATCTTCTCTCACAACAATCATCTATTACCATTAAGAATTACCTTCAACCATCAACAATTACATTTCGTTGCCGCCACCGTCACCACCACCACCACCACCACCACCACCTCATGTTAAAATTACCTTTAATTAGGGGTGTTCGCGGTTCGGTTACAACTGGGGAGCCTCCAATCCACCATCCGTCCGTTGGATTGGCGGATAGAAAAAATCAATACGTGTTCGTCCACCGGATTGGCGGATGCGGATTGAGCCGATTGACCGATTGACAGATGGATGCGAATCAATTTAGCGGTTTAAACTTTTACAAATTTTGAATATAATACAACAACTTATTAACATTTTTTTTTTTGAATGACAATCTAACTCAACATAATCAAAAGATTATTAAGTAAATTATCAAGTGCCAATAATAAATACATAGAAGAAAATCATGCATTATCACAACTATTTTATTACGGTTTTTGTATTAAAAAACTATTTGATTTGATTTGATTTTTAAAAAAATGACAAATTAAGCTTTGTATTTTTCACACAAAAATATCAAATATCAACACTTGTCATTTGATAAAAGAATTTCCAAATTAAAAACACAACAGAATATCTCAATTCTTTTTCAATTGAAAACACAAAATCTTACAAATTACTAGGGGTGCTTGCGGTTTAGCAGTTCGGTTGCGGCCAAAGGAATCTCAAATTTGGCATCCGTTCAAAATTAGGCGGATTGAAAAAAAATTAATCTGCAACCGTTCGCTCGTCATCACGCATCCGTTCAAAATACGACGAATCAGTTCGATTCGATTGATTTGAGCGGATCAAAATATCCGCTGAACAACCCTACCTTTAATGGTTGTTCACTGCCTTCAACGGCTGACAATACAACAACCTTTGATTACTCCTCTCACTTATTTTAATCAATTCTAATTTATCTTTAAAAATGATCAGAGTATTATACCTCATAAGTGATTACTCGTACTTTTCTAGGTAACTCACAGTGACTAAGGTAAATTTTACGAAATTTAAACTCATTTTAATTTTAATTTAATAAATTATTTTTTTAATTGTTATTGTACGGGAAAGAAATAAACCTTCTCGTATAATCCTGTTGATCAAGTCTGCGCTCCTCCAAACGTCGTTGCTTTATTCCCTGAAAACACAAACGTGAGCTAGCCGGCGGGTGTGTGCCGGAAATCCCTCCGATGCCTAAGTCAGGAAAATGGACAAAGACAAAAGCTCTTGTGTATTCAAGAATCAAAGTTGTGTTTTACCTCTCCATAGGTGATGTTTGTGAGCTTTTATAGGTTTCGTGTGGCACAATCCTAGTAGGACTTCTACTCCTCCATGCAGAGTCCTCCTAGGATTCATACTCCTGAAGGATAATGCTTATCCTTCAATACCCCCCTCACTGCTTAAACCAAGTGAGATGGTTTTATCATGGCTGAACTACCACGATCGAAGCAAGCATGGCCATGCCGAGCACAGAGTAGACCGAATTATCGATAGTTCGGTCCTCTCCTTCACTGCTCTGCCTCAGCTCTTCCTGCTCAAACCGTGCTTACTATGTTGTTTGAACCGTGCTAACAATTAGCTAGGTCCTACCGAGCTATCCGTGCTATGCCTGCGACCGGTCTACCTTTTGAGACCGAACTAACTTCAAAGTAAACTTAGACCGGTCTAAGCACAAAGTATCTTTAGTCCGGAATAATCTTCAACCCTCATTCAGACCGGACTAACTTAAAGGTTTTGGGCTCCTTTTACTCTGCTGCTCTTATTTTGGCCCATTAACAGCCCATTGCCCAGCTCGGCCCAATTTAATCATATAAATTACCCTCTCAGTTATAATATGCTTTTTAGCAAAGATATCGTTTCAAATATTATAGAACAAGGTATGATAGAGTGGTTTCCAAAGTATATATACTATTTTAGGGGTAGACATTCGTTGTGTCAGGCAGGATTTGTGCTAGACCGACATTATATAATAAGAGATTTTGTATCCGTTAAAGATTGGCCTAGCCCTAACATCGGATCTTTATATCTACCCTCCGTCCCAAAAAATAATTATAAATTTCAAACCCACTGATTGAGCTTTATGTTAAAAAAATTAAAACATTTCATAATTAAATTCAATCATACATTATATTTCTTAAATAAATATACTGATATCATTATAAATTGAAGGGTTTTGTGTATAAATTAAAATATTTTCTTTAAAAATAAATTCAATCATGTATCACAACAAATATGAGTTTCAAATTAACAAAAATAAAGTCTAAATTCTAACAAAGATACATATATTTTAATATATTATAATTAATTAATTAATTTAATAGACCTGGCCGGGTTGCGTTGGGTTGAAAATATAAATTCCAAATCCAGCTATTAATATATCTGGCTGAAAATATTGTTTTAGCCCGGCCCTATGGGCTAAAACAACATTTCTAAATCCTAAAAAATAGAGTCGAGCCGAGTGGGTTGGGTAGGCCAACGGGTCAATACCCACCCCTACATTATTTCTAATATGCGTTTTAAAAGTTCTATAGAAAATTAATTATTAAATAGTATGAACTTTTAGTGGTTACAATAAAGATAAGGAATATAAAATAATGGATAAAACAGAAATTAAAATCCGAACATAAGGTATTAAACTATTCTCACTTATATTTAAACTTTACATAGGAGATCCAGTTAAAGGGAGGGTAAAAGTCATAGGAAGTATGAATACTTTAGATTTTAAATTTATAAATAGATTTGTAGGAAAAAGAAAAAAGAGGGAAAAAAAATATTTCATTCACTTTTACGAATCTAAAATCCAAATTCAATGAAAATTTGGAAAAAGAAAATTATGATTTTCTCTTTATTTCCATATTTATTTGGTATGAGTAAGCTAATTTCTTTTCTTTTTTTTTGAAATGCAGAGTTCTCAAAGCACTAGATTTGAGTGGCGTTCTCCCCCGAGAATTGGTCAAACTCCCTCATCTCCTAGAATTGTAAGTATTTTTCTTATCATTATAATGTATCATAAACAATGAATAGCAACTTGTCTTAAAAAATAAATTGTTTGTGTTTAAAATTATACTTGTCTTCAATATTTTTTAACAACAAATGTGATGAAATTATATAACTATAATAATCGAATTAATCTATTTTATTTTGTGTGTGAATAATTTATACAATATAACTTAAAAAAATAAGAGGGCTGCTAAATGCTCATATCCTTCTTCCTAGGACCCCCACTTATTTGAATCCCTACCATCAAAATTGTTCTCCTCCTCATTTTTCTTTAGACCTCTACCTACCTTAATCCCAAATATACCCTCACCAACAAATTTTTTGTCATTTTTTAACCGGCAACCTCACCCTCAACTCCGGTGACTCCTCCTATAGTCCTCATCCTCCATTGGAGACCCTCCTTCAGCCCTCATCCCTCATCGGCAGTCAACCATCACCACCCCATCCCTCATCGATCCACCTCCTCTGTCTTATTCTTTTTCTTTTGGTACCCTAGATCTCTCTCCCTTTATCGATCCACCACCGCAACCATCACCACCGCCCAACCACCCCCTTCTGCACCCATCATCTCCATCAACAGTGAAGGTCGACGATGACTCATCACTCACACCCTTCTCATTGTTGACGGTGAAAAAGATTTGTGGGCTTCGACTCCCTATCTTGCAGTCAATGAATTTGTTTGAATTGGTTTGATGGTTTGTTTGTTTGCTATGTTGGTTTGTTTGTTACAATGACTAATGAATAAATTGGGGTTTTATGTTCAGAACTAAGTAATCGAACAAATCCTTTATGTTCAGCATTGTGTTACCGAACCAAAAAGATTCATTCAAAACTGTGTTATCGAATATTTGGGATTTGCTCATCATTGTGTTGCCAAACCTATTTTGCTATCGTGAACTCTCCATCCATTGCGAGAGTGAGTGAGCGAGAGAGATATGAAAACCTAGGGATTTTAGAAGAAGACCAAGAAAAAAAAAGGAGAAGAGGAAGACAAGGGTGACGAAGAAGGGCTGTGTTGCTACGGCTGCCGAAGAGGGCTGGGTGCTGCTTTTGGAGGTTGTTAGTGGGAGTGGAAATGATGGTGGGTTGGTTGCTGGAGGGTGGGTTGGTCGTCGGAGGGTGTCAGCGGGAGTGGAAGTAGTGGTGGGATTGGGGTTAGGGTTAAACTTTGGAGGATAGAAATGAGGACAAAATTGGAATTTTATATTAGGATAAAATTATAATAAACTAAAGTAAAAAAATGAAATGTCCAAAATAAAAAGATAGAAACATTTAGAAGTTGTTTGAGATGTGCTATAAAAGTGCACTTTTTTATTTTTTGGTTAAAAACGTAGAGAAAAAAAAGATATATGTTTGGGATAACTTTTTGACTTTTTACAGAAAAATATGTAATAAAATATTGTAGATGCAAAGTACACTGATCTGCAGCACTATGCCGGGGTATGCATTTCAAATAGAAATGAGGATAAAATTATAATAAACTAAAGTAAAAAAATGAAATGTCCAAAATAAAAAGATAGAAACATTTAGAAGTTGTTTGGGATGTGCTATAAAAGTACACTTTTCGACTTAAAGATCTTCTAGTAGTTAACGTCATCCAAAAAAAAATTTATGTACCAAAAAAAAAAAAAACTCACCAAATTAATAAATCATCAATTATAATTAGGTTGAGTTTGGAAAATTGCTAAATAAGTAATTTATTTATTTATTTGTTACAAACTGTCACATTACATTTTTATTTTTTTTACATAATTTATGTAAATAGTCAAAAATTATTAAATAAGCAAACCTCAAATGACCAGGTACTGATTACTTTCTCATTTGTACAGTGACATCTCCAAGAATTACGTTAATGGTACTATCCCTCCAGAATGGGGTTCCTTGCCACGAATAATGCACATGTATGTACCCAAGCACATATACTTACTACTAGTATATCATTTTGTATTGTTTTTTAATTTCAAATTCATGATCTGATTTGTGAAGGGGGGAAAAAAAATTCTCACCATTCAAAAATCTAAGTTCGGACCATAACATTCTAAATTTTTTATGTTTATGTTTTTAATACAAAAACAATGTTATTGCAGATCCCTATTAGGAAATCGAATAACAGGTTCAATTCCAAAAGAATTAGGAAACATCACTACACTTGAAAGCATGTAAACTTCTTATTATTACTCATATGTATTTTTTATTTTTATTTTTATTTTTTATGCTTATGAAGAATTTATATCACTTTGTTGTCAAAATTGTAATTTTTGATGCTTATATTATAGAGTCCTCGAGTTCAATCAGCTGCATGGGCCACTTCCTCAGGAGTTTGGTAACCTTACCCGCCTTGAGAAACTGTAATGCTCTATTACTTTTTCCAATTTTTTTATTTTTTATTTTTTAAATTATACTTGCTCTCCTCTTTATCCTTTCGTTTGGATGAAATGATTTAGTAAGAAATAATGGAAAAAATTAAAATCATGAAAAAGTATAACAATTTAATTATTAAAATTTATAAATTTTATTATTAATTTGTAATTTTTTTTTCTAAGCCTACATTGTGCTATTATTTCCCCTGTTTGGTTTATAAATTATGTAAGAAATGATAAGATAAGAAACTCTATTATTGAGTATATTTTATTTCTCATCAAAAGTAATAAAAATTGGTGAGAAACAAATTAATTAATTATAAAATATTTACAAAATCAAAATTATATCTTAAAAAGTATAGAAAGAAAACTAAAGGGTAATTTACACTCACATCCCCTGCGGTTTCTGACAAATACAGGGACCTCCCCTATAGTTTCAATAATTACAGTAACTTCTCTTACTTTACCTGTCATTCTCCACATTCTCCCATTCCGTCAAATTGGAACAAACGGTGTTACTTGCATAGAATAAATAACCTTATTACCCTTACTTTTGAGCACAAAAAGATGATACTACTCTTGCACTTATTCCTCTGTTCACTTTATTTCTCTGTTGACCTACAAAATGACCTTTTTTGAATTTATTTTTTTTAAATATTAAAAAATGTTTAAGAAAATTTTATTTTTTATTTAATTTTTTTTATTTTAAATACTTTATTTTATTTTGTAAATATTTTGATATTTTAAATTTTAATATTTTAAAATCAAAACACAACTTCACACTCAAATCGTAACCAAATATATAATTCAAAACTTAATTCAAAAATTATTTTCAAACCTTATAACCAAACACATGACTCGAAACTCTACACTACTTTTAAAACTCTACATTCAAATCGTAACCAAATAAATAACAAAAAAGTAAAAATATTTAAAAATATATTTATAAAATAAATAAATAAATAAATATTTAAAATAAAAACTTTTCAAATTTAAAAAAACTTTAGGTTCTGTTTGGTTTAGATTTCAAAACATAATTCCACCACTGATTCGAATGTAGTATTTGGTTGCAGCTTTTAAATCATAATTCTACACCCATTTCTCAAAACTCATTTCAAACTATAATAATTATTTTTCAAAACTCATAACCAAATACACAACTCAAAACTCTTTTCAAAACTTATAATCAAACAAATTTTATCTTTTCAAAACTAAATTCATAACTCATAACTCAAAATATGACTCCGCACTCAAATCATAATTCTAAAAATAATTTTAAAAAATAAAATAAAAAAATATTTTTAAATTTTTTTTCTTTTAAAATAGAGTTTTGAAAAAAGTTTGGTTTTGAGTTTTGAAAAGAGTTTTGAGTTGTGTATTTGGTTATGAGTTTTGAGTAGTTTTGGGTTGTTTATTTTATTTTATAAATATATTTATAAATATTTTAATTTTTTATTATGTGTTTGATTATGATTTGAATGTAGAGTTTTGAAAATAGTATGGAGTTTCGAGTTATGTGTTTGGTTATGAGGTTTGAAAATAATTTTTGAATTGAGTTTTGAGTTATGTGTTTGGTTACGATTTAAGTGTGAAGTTGTGTTTTGAGTTTAAAATATTAAAATTAAAAAAAATTAAAATATTTAAAGAATAAAATAAAATATTTAAAATAAGAAAATGTAAAAATATTTGAATAAAAATTATATATTTAAAATAAAAAAATAAAATTTTCTTAAACATTTTTTAAAATTTTTAAAAAATAAATCCAAAAACACTGTTTATTCCAAACACTGTTTCTTCCTATAGTAGGGTCATTTTCTTCCACAGCCATCCACCAATCCAAAAATATTTTTCAATATTTTAAAAAGATGGGCAATAAGGTCATTTAATATAGGAAAGTAACACTGTTTGTTTCAATTTGACAGCATAGGGAAATCTGGAGAATGTCAGGTAAAGTAGGAGAGATTATTGTAATTATTGAAACAACAAGGGAGGTCCCTGTATTTGTTAGAAACTTCAGGGGAGGTCAATGCAATTTACCCCAAATAAATCTTACACATATCCTTCTCTCATAATTTGTTTTTTTAGTTAGGCCAATTTTGGAGACTTATTACAATAAAAAAAATGGATTAATTACCTAAAAATCCTAATGAGAGGAGGTGTGGTAGCTCAAGTCCCGTATGACAGTTTTTGGACTCACAAGTCCCATTTTGAAATGCAATTGACATTCTTGCCCTTTTGGTAGATCATGTCAAAAATGTTAAAACCAGGAAAATCAGTGCATAGTACTTTCAAATGATGAACAGTTAATAAACTCAGAAGCAATATGTAACAAAATCAAACTGAATACTAAAATCAAAACTTATCAAAATTGAGAATGTTGGATTTGAGATTTGGAGATTTGGTCTGTAGGTAAAAACTGAGATGTTCTTACTTCCAAAATCGAGAATGATTTTAGTTTACAATTACCAAAATTAAGAAATTTCTCATTTTTTTTATAGTATTAATTGAAAACATTATCGGTTTGACAAATTTATCAAATTTTTTCAGTGTTAAAATTGAAAATATTATCAGTTTACTCTCTCTCTCTCTCTCGTTCACCTTCTTATTCTCATTCTACACTTTTTAAGATATGGAAATCTCCAAATCTAGTTTGAGATTGGCATGACTGGGTCGCGATAGCAATGGCGAGCAGAGGGCAATTGCGACAACGAGAAATAATAAACGAGCATAGGCAAGAACATAGCTGGGTTACGATGTAGAAGGGTTGATGCACAAGAGAGGGAAGAGAAGGCGACAAGGGGCGATTGAGAGAGGTCGCCATTGGAGAACGGAGGTTGGGAAAGGGAATCACCAGTAGGGTTTAGCACCGGTGGGATTTAGCGCCAAAGGTGGCTCGTTGAGATAGGAAGAGGGTCGTAGATGACGGTTCAGGAGTGGTGATTGAAGAGGGCAAAAGAGAGGGTAACGAGAGGGCAATTGTAAATTTCCTTAAAAAAATTAGTATAAATTATCACATCATTCTCTATATTTTACATTTTTTTATAAATTTTTTTAAAAAACAATTAAAATAATCAATTCGCAAATACACCTCGATTGAAGACTTTTCCTGCCTACAATCCAAACAGAGCGTTACTTCAACTCCCCACTACCGCACTGGATACCCACCAGACACCATTGGCATCACCGGAAGAGGAGGCTACGAAGTACGTGCGCGGTGGCCGAGATAAACAGTGCTGGCTATCCCCATTGATCTCCTTTCCCCATTATTTCACCTCTAAGCTCAGCAGTACCCACAAACCACAGAACATGAAACGAGATAAACAGTGCTGGCTATCCAGGCTCGGCCCAGAGATTTCCGGGACCCAAAGCCGATAACCAACTAAAAAATTTTTAGGCCCTTCCCATTTTTTTTTTCATTGAATGAAAAAAAAATTGAAAGTAAAGGACAAATAATTTGTGTCAAAATCACAAAAAATACTTAGCATTATGTTATAATAACTAATAAGCATCGCTTGATCCTTACTCTTCTTGTATTTTTAGAAGCAAATAAATCAATCATACTTGCATAATCTAATTTTTTTGCAAAATCATTTTCAATGAATAACAATGCTAATTATTTTAAATAGGCCTTTCAATTTTTTAATGGATTAATTTATTTTAAGTTAATTTGGGCCTGCCTTAATTTTTTTTGGACTTAAAAATATACTAAATATATTAGATTAAACTATAATAAGAGAGACCTCCTTTTTGGGTCTATTTTCAATGGATAACAATACTAATTTTTTTGAATGGCCTTTTAATTTTTTAATGGGTCAATTTATTTTAAGTTAGTTTGGGCTTTTTTTTTAATTTTTTTAGACTTAAAACATATCTAATATATTACACTAAATTATAATAGGAGGGGCCCCCTTTTTGAGTCTATTTTGAGGGGCCCTAGGCCATGGCCTTGTGGCCTATGCCCCAGGGCCGGCCTAGTGGCTATCCCCATTGATCTCCTTTCCCCATTCTTTCACCTCTAAGCTCAGCATTACCCACAAACACAGAACATGAAAGCAGTAGAGAGAGAGAGAGAGAGAGAGAGAGAGATACGGTTTACAAGGCTTCCCCGCCACCCCTCCACTGACCACCCGCACCGTTTCCTCGCCCTCCTTAGCCACCCCCTCATGCCTAACCCAATACCCAATCTAAGTAGATGAGGTGTTTGATAGAATGTGCCAAAGAACTATTTTCACGTGGAATGCCATGATTGGTGTTTATGTTACAAACGGGGCTCCTTTTGGAGCACTTGAATTGTATATAATAATCATGGTCTAGCAATCAGATTGGGCTTTGTTTGTGACACGTTTGTTGTCAATTCACTCGTGGGTATGCAATGCTTTCAATATGGCGATCCTGTTGTCTGACACAAAATGTGTGAAAGTGCAAATGCTATGCTAGCGAACTCAATAATTTTAGCTTATTCTGCCAAATGGATAGTCCATGGAAGCATTATTGAGGACTTTTATGTTGTGTTGGTTGGAATATTTGGGAAGGGACTTGAAAAAGAAAAAGGAAAAGGCGTGTGAAATTATGTGAAATATAGGTATATTTTATTCACATTTCACATATTTTTTCCCTTTTTCTTTCCAAGTTCCTTCCCAAATTCCCCAACCAAACACAGCATTATAGAAATGCAAAAAAATGGTCTCAGCCCAAACACGTATACCTCAATTTCTGCACTTTAAGCCACTTGGTGGACATGGAGTGCTATTATCGATCCGTTTGTAGATGTTTGTATTTGTTGCATTTTGTATGGGGGCTTGTGGAAGCAGTGGTGGTGGTGAAAGTCACCTCATGGAGAGGGAGAGAAGTACGAGTAAAAATTCAATATGATATCACTCATTAATGACACATGGTATTATCAGCCAATGATAAACTTAAACATGGAAAAGTAAGGTATTATCAGCCAATGATAAACTTAAACATGGAAAAGTGAATCCAGAATTGAAATGTAGCTACCAACTCTAAATAATTACTTATGTAACTGCCATCATAGTAGGTAGCTTATTATTGGATACCACGAGTTGGTGAAGATGTTGTAACGCCCTCAAAATAAACCCATTATATATATATATATCATTTACATGCATTATTTAATGAAAACATTTTATTAATTCGTTCATCAGAGTATTACTAAATAAAAGCATCACATGTAACATCGAATAAAATGCCCTACAGGCTTACATTCATTCACTTGTTAAATAAATTTACTAGTTCTAATTAACACTGTTGAAATATATTGTTACAACTTATGTCCCACTCTAATAAATGCTTGTGGAGTATCAATTTGTTGGCAACTGAAGTTAAGATCCTTTCGATATATCTATCTATCTATACTATTATAAACTGAAGACTTTTTATGGTGTTGACACAATGTGACATTTTCATTTCCAAAAATGCCCTTATAGTCTATTTGAAACACGAAATTATATAGGGAGGCCAAGACCTCTGGTCTGAGAAACAACATTTTTACCACTTGAGCCGCATACGACATCAAAACCAAACTTTATATTTTACAGATTTAATAGCACACCCATCGGGTGGGCACAAACCCTCTAGTATATATCTATATGATTCACTCAGGAGTGTGTTCAAGGCTTCACCTAACTAATTCCCGATCCCTGGTACATGTAATCTTCCATCAAAATATATGTACTTTGTAATTGTTGGGCATAACCCTGGCTGGACTCAAAAGGGAGTGGGAAATGAACTTTAACATTTATCCTTGACGATTGAATCCATTACATTGTATATGAGAGTCATTGGTCCTCTTAACTGGAGCAATCCAATTGGTTAATTGAACTCTATTTTGTTTTTTTTTTTTTTCAAAGGAGTTTAACATCGAATTATTTTTCTGGGGAGTTGCCACGAACACTAGCAAAGTTGACCACTTTGAAGGATTTGTGAGTTTCTATAAGTTCAGTTTGTTCTTTTTTGTGGGAGTTTAATGTTTATATTTTTAAATCTGTTGTTGAATTATTGTTTACCACAATGCAGTCGGATCGGGGACAACCTCTTTATAGGAATAATTGAACTCTATTTTGTTTTGTTTTTTTTTCAAAGGAGTTTAACATCGAATTATTTTTCTGGGGAGTTGCCGCGAACACTAGCAAAGTTGACCACTTTGAAGGATTTGTGAGTTTCTATAAGTTCAGTTTGTTCTTTTTTGTGGGAGTTTAATGTTTATATTTTTAAATCTGTTGTTGAATTATTGTTTACCACAATGCAGTCGGATCGGGGACAACCTCTTTATAGGAAGCATACCCAATTTCATCCAAAACTGGATACATCTTCGAAATTTGTGAGGCCTTGATGTGTTTTGATGTCACTTGTTTTTCATTCAACAACTTGTTTAAATAAACATATGGTAACGACAGATATATCCAGGCTAGTGGTTTGGATGGTCCAATTCCTTCTGGCATTGCTGTTTTGACAAATATGAGTGAATTGTCAGTGAGAAATCTTTTACTCCCTCAACTTTTATCCATATTGTGTACATTGGTTTTTGATTAGTAATTTTCTTGGTAGCCAATGTTTGATTATATTGTTTTTGGTTGAAATACAATATGTAGAAGAATTAGTGACTTGAATGGAACTAAAGTATCTACTTTTCCACCCCTCAATAACATGAGATACCTGCGGACGCTGTAAGTTGGATGCTTCTATATCACTGCCTTAAATAGAATTTTCAAATGTCCTCCTGGTGACTTGAAATCATGTATGCTTGATCGCATTGCAGGATGTTGACAAGTTGTAACATTATTGGAAGCTTACCAGAGTATCTTGGGACAATGAACAATTTAACAATTTTGTTAGTATATTTTTATACCTTCTCCTCTCTTCCATATTGGCATGTGTAGTAGTAGTTGTAAGTTCTCTTGAAAGAGTTTTTTGGGCCGTTACTGGTTTGATATGAAATAATTTAATATCATTAAATGTCTTATGAATTACCTATTTTGTGTTCGTATGCAATGTATTAAACTTTATATAGCAGTGAAACAACAAAAGTTTTTTACTCTGTAGATTAGATATCTAATGATTCGAGGAACCTCAATTAGCATGTGTTTATGTGCAGCTACTAGTGTTAATGTGATGATAAATTCAAGTGTTGAACCGTTTTATAAAATTGATTTATAAAATTTAGAAACCTGTATAGACAATGGTTCATAGTACCATGGACAAATGTTTGATAAATCAATTCAAAGATAAAGGCAGGCCATTGTATTTTGTGTTCGTATGTAATGTATTAAACTTTATATAGCAGTGAAACAACAAAAGTTTTTTACTCTGTAGATTAAATATCTAATGATTCGAGGAACCTCAATTAACATGTGTTTATGTGCAGCTACTAGTGTTAATGTGATGATAAATTCAAGTGTTGAACCGTTTTATAAAATTGATTTATAAAATTTAGAAACCTGTATAGACAATGGTTCATAGTACCATGGACAAATGTTTTATAAATCAATTCAAAGATAAAGGCAGGCCATTGATCAATTGAGAATGTGTTGTTCTGCCAAAAGACTCTATTATGCTGCAAAGATCTTCAATTAATCCTGTTGGGTTGAAAATTTCAATTCATTGTAGTGATTATCTGTTTCAGAGTTTCCATTTTACTGAAATAAAATTCTTTTCAAAAGTCATTCAATATCTTTTTCTTTATGATCTTTTGCAGAGACCTCAGCTTTAACAAACTAAGTGGAGAAATTCCAAAGAACTTCGTCAATCCAAACGCTTCAATTTCCATGTATGGACTCTTAATTCTTGTTGTTGGTTTCCTTGTGCCAGTTTTGGATGCTAATTCTATAAAGCCACTAAAATTAAATTCATTAACCGATGACCCTGAACAGATTGCCTTGAAATTAGTCGACTTGAATCTTCTTGCATGTCAGATTAATTCTCCAGTCTTGGACTATATGAGACTAAAATTAGGCTTTGTTCGAGCTTGTTTTTTTATGGAAAACGAGGATAGTTCTTTCGCATGAGTTAGGTAAGTTGAGGATTGTGTTCTTCCTTTGGAAATTAGACCTGAAAAGGTCAAATTAAAAGGAGTTAGCTGATAACCACGGACCTTTCTTTACTATATTTTCATTTATTGAATGTCTTCCTCTCTCACAAGACAAGAAGACGAGTAATGGTTTGATTTCTATGAGCCAATAAGTAGGGTTTGCTTGTTTGAGAGAAGAACAAACTTAGGGAATGATGTGACAATCATCCCCTTTTATATTAATAACATGTAGCTTATAATGGAAGTCTTAAGGCACAAATAAGGAAAGTCCATAATAAGGAAATTATAGCTAAATCAAATCAAATCAAATCATAACGTAATATTCTAACACTTCCCCTCAAGCTAGCGCGTAGATGTCTCTCATACCCAGCTTGCTTAGAATATCATGAAATATTTTACTCCCCGCCCCTTTGGTGAGAATGTCTGCAAGTTGTTTGTTGGATTTCACAAAACAAGTACATATCATGCTGCTAGTGAGTTTCTCATTGATGAAGTGACGATCAATCTCAACATGCTTTGTCTTGTCATGTTAAACAGGATTGTGAGCTATGTTGATGGCAACCTTATTATCATTGATGGGTCGTTTCACACACCAAAATTAAACACTAAATTGTGCCAAATTCCTTAGAATAATGGCAAATCCACATATCAATCCACAGGGACAATTGTGAAATTAAACTAATTTAATTGTTAAATTCCTAAATTAATTTTGATGGAAGATGATTGGTTCATAATCTAATGAGAACTAAATTAAGCAAAGCGATTAAACAATTAATTAAAAGTAAGGATGAAGTACTGATTTTGGAAAAAATCTTGGATAATGAATCCACCACTAGTTACGTAAATAAGGTTTCAATTTGAAAGTCAATTATGTTCTGGTTCAAACGAAATAATATTTCGTAACTACAAGTTCAAAGCATTGATAAAGAAAATTATCGCATTCAATGTCTAGGCACGAACCATCTCAAGTGGTACGAATCGTTTGCTCTAAACTACGGTAGCAAAACAGTTTGTCCCTTGTAGTATGGCTCATCTCATGCCTTGAATATAAAAATAGAGAAAACTATTGTATGGAAAGTATTCAACAATCACAGAAAGTAGAATACTTGAAGAGAATACTGAAAAAATATATTTGAAACTTCTTAAGGACCATACAATTGTTCAGACCTTTACACAAGAGAAAACCAAAAAGAAATCCCTATTTATCTGGCCAGGGTTTCATCAAAACCCTAGAAATAGAAGCCTAGCCACTCATGGAGGAGTGAGAAGAGGTAGATGGAGTAGAAGCCACAATGGGAGACATCCTTCACACTTCAAATTTCTTTCTCTTCAAAACCCAAGCCTCCTTTTTCTTTGGAAAAATATCAGAACCCTAATCCAACCTATTTTTTGTCTTTTTACACCTCATCTTCTTTTCAACAGGTTTAAAACATCGAGCATGTTTTTTGAGGTACGGCCGCACGTGTGGAAAATGTCACCGCATGTACGGCGGGGGTTTCGCACGTGCGAGGAAAACCCTCCGCACGTCTGGGAAAGCTGGGGCCCTGTTTGGTTGCGAGGTAAAGACCGCACGTGCGGGATGCAATTTTCTTTGCATTTTTGCTCATTTTATGCTCCCACTATGTACAAACCTGATTGACATTAAATAGGCATAAAATGTATAGTTTGACATGCAAGTAAAGTTAAAAGATCATAATTAACGGCCTCAATGTTTTACAATTCAACCTTAATCAATCATAATATAGTTGCATGGGGTTTGTTTGGCCAATCCCCAACTCCCTCAAGAATAGCTTGATCCACAAGACCTCACACACATCTTGTGCCATAGCTTTAAACTCAACCTCTACACCCAACCTAGTCACCACATTCCGTTTCTTACTTCTCCAAGTAAAAAGATTGCCTCCCACAAAGGTATAATACTCTGATGTAGATCTCTTATCAGCTATTGACCCTACCTAATCAGCATCTGTATAGGCTTCTACACGGAGGTGATCATGTTTGGAAAAATAAATACCTTTTCCAGGTGAAGATTTCAAGTATCTCAGAATTCTCATAACAGTCGCTAAGTGAATTTCATGAGGAGCATGCATAAACTGGATAACCACATTGACAACAATAGCAATATCAAGACGAGAGTGAGATAAGTAAATGAGCTTACCCACTAGTTTGTGATAACTCCCTATATCAACAGCTGCTCCCCCTTCATCATCACCAAGTTTCTAATTAGGTTCTAGTGGAGTATCACAAGCCTTACATCCAAGCATCCCTATTTGGCACATATTTTCTTTGTGAGATGAAAATTCCATCCTTGGTTCCCCAAGTCTTTGATTTCAAGCTCACTTGCCAATACCTTTTCAACAGAGAAATTTCCTCTTCATCATCTCCAATTAGCACTATGTCGTCCACATATATAATAAGAGCAATGGTCTTACAATGTGAGGAATGCTTAACAAATAGAGTATGATCAGTTTGACTCTGTTTGAAGTCATATTTCAGCATTGCTTAAATGAACCTTTCAAGCTAGGCCCTAGGAGACTGTTTAAGACCGTATAAGGATTTCCATAGTTGACATAGGCGGAATATCCATATACACCTCTTCTTCCAGGTCACCATGAAGAAAATCATTATTCACATCAAATTGGTGAAGTGGCCAATTTAGATTAGCTGCAAGAGAAAGAAGCACTCTGATTGAATTCATTTTTGTAACTGAGCAAATGTGTCTTGGTAGTCCACCCCATAGGTCTGAGTAAAGCCCTTTGCCACAAGTCTAGCCTTATACTGTTTACTTGAACCATCCGCCTCGTGTTTCATTGTGTATATCCATTTGCATTCCACTGTTCATTTGCCCCTAGGTAACTCAGTTAAATCCCAAGTGCCATTCTTATGAAGTGCTTTTATTTCCTCCACCATGGTCAATTTCCACTCAGGAATAGTAAGAGCATCCTGAAAATGATTAGGTGTACTAACAGAGAAAATTTTTGACACAAAGGCTTTATATGAAGAGGACAAATGAGAATAAGACACAAAGTTAGAAATAGGATGATGAGTACAAGATCTCACACCCTTTCTCTTAGCAATGGGTTTATCAAGATCAGTAGGCTCAGACTTAGAGGTAGCAATATCAAGAGTTTCAAGGTTACTTGCACCTTCATCAAGAGGAGGAGACAACAATGATTGATCAGAAATGGTCTCTTGTATCCAAGTAACTTTCTATCTTTCTTTATCCCTGATATAGACTTGCCATTCTCTGTTCTTGGCAACATCGAATTTTGTATTGCTAGTAATAGGTACCACTGGTGGCTGTACTGGGCTAGGAACAATAGGAGCAACAAGACTCTTTTCACTCGAAGACTCTCCTAAAAATATGACTGGGACACGGGGACCAGACAAGAAGTAGGATTGAGACTCAAAGAATGTGACGTCCATGGACACAAACCATTTACGAGAGGGAGGATGATAACATTTGTACCCCTTTTGAGTAGGAGAGTAACCCAAGAACACACACTTAAGAGAACGAGGATCCAACTTACCCCAAGAAGAAGAATGATTGTGAACAAAACATACACAGCTAAAAGTTTTTGAAGGAATGGAAAACAGAGACTCGGAACCTAAGAGAATTTGAAGAGGTGCCCTTTTTTTGTAACCCTTGTGTAGAAGACGGTTAATGAGATAGGTAGTAGTGAGAAAGACCTTGCCGCCAATAGGCCCGAGGTATGCCCATAGAAAAACATATACAGCGGGCCATATCAAGGAGATACTGATTATTATGCTCGGTAACCCCATTTTCTTGAGGGATGTCAGTGCAAAATGTTTGATGGATAATGCCATAAGTGGAAAAATATTTCGCCAACCCAGAATCAATGTACTCACCCTCATTATCAAAACGTAACACGTTGACAACTGCCCCAAATTGGGTACTAATCATTTTATGGAAGTTTTGAAACACAAATGAAACTTCACTTTTTTTCTTTCATGAGGTACCCCTAAGTAGTACGAGAGTAGTCATCTATAAAGGTAATAAATCATCGATGACCCTTCATTGACATCATACGAGAGGGACCTCAAACATCCAAATGAATTAAAGAAAAAAGAACTGAACTTTTATTATTACTAGGAGCAAAAGAAGCTCGGTGTTGTTTGTCAAGTTGGCAGAACTCACAATGAAACTCAAAAACTTTTTTTTTGATAAAAACAGAAGGAAATACATGTCAAAGTAATAAAAAAGATAGATGTCTTAGACGTTGATGTCCCAGCCATAAATCTTCCTTGGTGGATGGAGACTGGATGGAATGATGAGCCAGCTTGTCAGTCTGATCTAGGATAGAGACCATTTTCTGTTCTACCACTGCCAATTGTCTTCTTCGTGATAAGGTCCTAAAAAAGACAAGAATCAGGGAAAAAAGTTACACTACAATTCAGATCCCGAGTAAGACGACTCAATAACAATAGGTTAAAAGAAAAATTAGAAACATGTAAAACAGAAGACAAAGGTAGAGAAGGGGTGGCACGGATTAAACCTTTCCCAAAGAGAGAAGAAATAATATCATCAGTAATCCTAACTTTATCTTGACCAGAGGCTGGTGTATAGTCTGAGAAGAGATCAAAAGACCCAGATATATGATCTGAGGCACCAAAATTAATAATCCATGGCAACGCCTTATGGGATAGAAAAACATTGGAAGATGAGGCTAAGTTACTTGAACGGACAAACTAAAAAGAAGAAGAAGATACACCTGGAAGAACAGGAGACCGGCAATCAAGAAAATTGCTCAGAGCATCCTCAAACTTAGAAGAGGGCATACTAGAGCCTCGATCAGAAGTCTGTATAACTGGAGCTGAACCATGTGTCTCTATAGCATTGGACTGATGAGCACGAGAGTGAGACCTACGTCTTTTCGACTGACTAGAACGGCTACCTCTATGACTAAAGCGATCCCCTTAAATCCCTAATGAAGTAACTTGAAGCTTCCAACAAGTTTCACAGGTATGCCTTGGCTGGCAGCAGTAATCACAGAATAGATTATCCTTCTCTGAAGGATGAGAAGAAAGAAGTGACAAACCAGTAGTAATGTTGAACTGTCTGTAGAAGCTAGGTGTAACATAGCAGAACGACGAGTCTCCTCATTCTGGACATAAGCAAAGGCCTTCTGAAGTAATGGAAGAACATTTATGCCAAGGAGACGACTCCGTACCAAATCAAACTCCACATTAAAGCCTTCTAGGAATTTGAAGACCCTCTCATGTGCAAGAAACTTCCGGTAAGCAATAAGTTAGCTGTGCGTACAGACTTGTAATCCAAGAGATGACCTAGGCGTTTCTAACCATTAGTTAGAAATGTATAACACTAAAGAACTGTCTGCTCCCCTGCATTGAGCGCTCAATAGACCAGTGCAACTCAAATGACTAAGAAAAATTCCACTTCCGGGAATATGTACCAACTACTGCCTCCTAAACATCTTGGGCAGTTTCTATGGATAAGTAACCTTCACTAATCTCAGGGACCATGGAATGAATGAGCCACCCCATGATCAAAAAGTTGGTAATCTCCCATTGATCATAGCCAGGATCAGTAATATCTGGTGCTTGAACTCTCCCATCAACATATCCCATCTTCCCCATACTCTTTAGAAAAAGTGTCAGACACTGTGACCAAGTACGATAATTCTAGCCATTAAATAGAAAGGTGTTGATTTTAAGGTTAGGATTGAGGTTCTCGAAAGTAATGGTTATAATAGGACTCTCCCCTTTAAGTGCTTGGGAACTAATGGTAGATTCACTAATATTTTCAGCCATCTCAATTTAATACTATCCAAACAACCTGCAATAATCACTACTACTGGAAGAGGAAAAAAACGGAGTCACAACACAAATAATCAACCACAAACCATGGAGGGAGCAATACAATCAGTTAAAGCTGAGTAATGGGGCCATAAAGTGATCCAAAAATAATAAAAGTTCGGGAGAATTAAAACTTAAATCAAAACAGAAGGCTACGAGTCCCAATCAAAAGAAAAAAATTATAGCAATGAAGTGAATGAAGTCCTGAGGGTTCAATTAGTGCATGGCTGGATTCGATGCACTTATCTGATTAACAGAGAGTCTCGAACAGAAGTAGTGGACTGGTTGGTGGCTGGGCCAAGCCCAGAAGCAACCGACATAGACTATAAAGGCTATCGGGCAAGACTCAGGCCTGGAATGGCTTGTGCGATGGCTGGGTGATAGCTTACAAGTGTCGACAGGACTGCTGGATGAAAAATAGGGACTGCCGACAGTGTTGCTGGATAGGTGGGTGATGCCGACAGAAGAGAAGAATAAGAAATGAGGGGTGGGCTAGAGTTTTGGCTCTGATACCATGTTTGTTTGAGAGAAGAACAAACTTAGGAAATGATGTGACAATCATCCCTTTTTATATTAATAACATATAACTTTACAATGGAAATCTCAAGGCACAAATAAGGAAAGTCCATGATAAGGAAATCAAATCAAATCAAATCATAACGTAATATTCTAACAGGTTTCCACTTCAAAATGTCAAATTCGGGTTTAAATTCAATTTTGTATTGTTTTAGGGATTTAAATTCAATTTTGTAATGTTTGAGGGTGCAAATGTCGTGTGATCACTTTTGAAAACCTCAGAATTTGTGCCATCCCAAAACTTTGTGAGATTCATGGCTGCTGTTACAATACTGATGCTCCTGTTACTGAAATCTACATGACCAAACTAATTGATGATATCGCGTTTGTTTAGTTATTTAATTGGCAACTTGCTGAATGGATCTGTGCCTGACTGGATGCTGCGTGGGCTGAACCTCAAAGTGTAAGTTTCTCTTCCAAAGCCCTCAATAAAAGTGTCAGTGTTATGTAAAGTTGTCTAATCTTGTTGGTCATGCAGTAAATCATTAATCTACCTTGCTTTTAGTCCTTGCTTGTTGTCCTTGTGGGCTTTATTTTAATCCATACCTCGCATTGTGGTTCAATGCAGTTATCACTAACTGTAATTGTGGTCATTCATTAATACTACGCATTCTTGGAATTGATAATCTGATGACACTACTGTGAAGAAAAAAAGGAAAAAAAGTGCAGATATTATGTGAGTGCCCCATTTAACAAGTTGACTTCCAATGCCCCTTAACTTAGAACTTGATCATCCATTAACAATTTGACTTCCAAGGTCGGCCATCTCAATGTTAGAAGAGCAGTTTTCTTCCTACAGTTCATTTCTTAAGCCTTGGGCAAACAACAGTTTTCTATTTTGCCTAAAAACCTACTTCCAACTTCCAATAGCATATTGGACCAAATAAATGATTATTTATCCCCCCAAAAAAGGCACATAAATGTTGAAATGCATAGATGGTTAATATATTCTTTTAAGTTGGGGGTGTCATGCTAATTTATATGTTTAAATTGAAGCAGCAGCAATGTGAAAAACTTATGTGCTTCATTGTAATGTCTAATGTGTAACAAGTTTAGAGCCCCTAACAGATCTCCTTGTCTAGAATTTGATGATTTGATCATGTTAGGATAGTACAGGTCTGTCCAAAAAGAATAATAAGATTCAAAGAACAAGACTTTTCACTCAAGTTCATCTCCTCAATCTTCAAAATGCAAATAAATTTTTTGAGTTAACACCTTCCAGCATGGAGTGAAAAATAATTCTGCTTTCCATTTTCTGTTGCACAATTACCTAAAACGAAAAATTGAAAAAAATAAAATAAAATTGGCCATTTCAATGTTTGTAGGCATGGATGTGTCATAGAATTTTTCTTGATTGGAGTTGTAGATGTAGAAATTATGCCACGAGCAGATTAACAAATTAACTTCTAGATGCATGTCTTAAGACTTTTAAACAACTAGTTGAAACAAAAGTTCCATTTTTGGATTGTCAGACAGTTTTGGCTTACCTACAAAAAAAGGCTAAGATAAGTAATTTTTTATTTATTTATTGAACTGCACTTCCAAATAAGCATGCATGAAACATAGTTTGTACTTCCTGATGGGTTGTTTTACACACCAAAAATAAACACTAAACTGTACTAATTCCTTAGAATAATGGAAAGTCTAGGTATCGATCCACGGGGACAAATGTAAAATTAAACTAATTTAATTGTTAAATTCCTAAATTAATTTTGATCAAAAAGATTTGTTCATAGACTACTAATAATTAAAAGAAACTAAGAGATTAAACTAGCAATTAAAATTGAAGTTAGAGATACTGATTTTTTGAAAAAACCTAGGGTAATGAATTCACCACTAGCTATATAAATATGGTCTTAATTTGGAAATCAATTATATTACAGTTTGAACCAAATAATACTTCACAACTACAAGTTCAAAGCATTGATCAAGAGAATAATCACATTCAATGTATAGGCACGAACCATCTCAAGTAGCACGAGTCGTTCGCTCTAAACTATGGTAACAACACGACTCGTCCCTCGTAGCATGGCTCGTCTCATACCTTGAATATGAAAGAAAAGAAAACCATTGCATGGAAAGCATTTAACAATCACAGAATGTAGAATACTTGACGAAAATATTGGAAAATATATTTAAAAATTTCTTGAACACCATACAACTTGTTCAAATCATTACATAATCAAAAACCAAAAGGAAAACCTATTTACTTGGCTAGGGTTTCATCAAAATCCTAGAAATAGAAGAACTAGCCACTCATGGAGGAGTGAGAAGAGGTAGAGGAAGAGAAAACCACCATCGAAGATTCTTCTTGAAGTTTGAAACCCTTCTCTTCAAAACCCTAGCCCCATTTATCTTTTGGAAATTTTCAGAACCCTATTCCAGCCTCCTTTTTCCTCTTTTATTCCCAATTAGACGAAGTCAAAATTTCACACATGTGTCCCTAGGTTGGCTGCTCGAGCGCCTATATTTTCTGCTCGAGCGGTTATGGGCTGCACGTGCGGTTAGGTCGGGCTGCAAATGCAGTTAGGTCATGCCGCACGTGCAGTAAGATGGTAGGCCGAGAAATTTCATTGCTTGAGCAGAGAATCTGTTTTTGTGCCACTTTTCCCTTGAATTTGTGTGTTGCTTGCCAAATCTGCACAAGAACACAAAACACATCATCTTCGCCAAATAATCATAATTCAAAGACTATAAATGTAACTTAAGTAGCCTTAATTTGGTACCTTTCGGCGTACATCACTTCCATATTGCATTCAAGATAAGATGAATCCCAATGTGAATTCTGTGTGCAGTGATCTTTCATATAACAACTTTAGCTCAACAAGGAATTCAATTTGCCAAGAAAATGTGTAAGAATCTCTTCTCTTATTTAATAACTATTATAATCTCTCCAAAATCTTGTGTGTACCAGCTCAACTTTTTACTTCCTCTATTTTCTACAGGAACTTGTTTGAAAGCTCTTCAGAGGACAATGCTTTGTAAATTTCTGAAACTTCTGAAGAAATTCATTCATAATATTTTCTGTTGCTTTCGTAATATGTTTAGGCAGTGTTTCAGTTCGTTTCATTCTTATCTGACCTATATTCTAATATGATATGATGTTGACTGGTTCATGATCTCACGTTGTTCTGTCAGTGGAATTCTTTCTTGCAATCGTAGCTCTCGTTGTCCACGATGTAAGTAGAAATATTATTTATTTCATTGTATTGATAGTTTAACCAGTTAACTCTGGGTCATATTCGTCTTCTTCTTCTTCTTCTTTTATTTTTTACCATCGACTTATCATCCCCCTTCTAAAGCATTTACCTGTTTTTAAGGCTTACACACTTAGGCATTGGAAATTGAAAATATGGTGCTGTGATTCTATTGGACCTGTTACAAGGTGTAGCAAGTAGATAAAAAATGATGGCTTAAAGAAGCTTTAGATTGCATGTACTTAGATTTTTAAAAATATGATGAGTGTCTTTAGATTAAAATTGTAAAAGGAATTCTTTCCTAGATTTCTTTGTTTCTGATCTTTCTATTTATTTCACTTTGTTGAAAGGTATTTGGTTACTTTTTTGTGTCAGATTGGTCCTCCTTCCATATAAATTGTGGTGGAAGTGAAGTAGTTGTTGAGGGAAAAACATATGAAGAAGATACAAATTCAGCAGGGTCTTCAAGGCTTTTCATAAGCCAAACTAATTGGGCATTTAGCATCACTGGTGACTTTTTGTTTGATCATCGCCCTTTAAAGACATACATTTGGACAAATACTTCGAGGCTCTCTATGAAGAATTCCGAGTTGTACATGAATGCACGACTTTCTCCTCTATCCCTGACTTACTATGGTTTTTGTCTACAAAATGGAAACTATACTGTAAGCCTTCACTTTGCAGAGATCATGTTTACTAATGATAAAACATATGCCAGCCTTGGAAGACGCATATTTGATGTTTACATTCAGGTAACATTAGATTTTCACACCCATAAAATTGACATATAAAGGTTTCTTTTTCTCGTATTATATTTTTGTTGGTAACTGATTTTGAAGTGGTACTCTTAAAGGAGATGATGCCCGTCTTAATCGCCAAGTATTTTAGCATTCAATTTTTCATTGATTGCTCTAAGAAATATATATATATATTTTGGCAAGATTAACATAGCAGAGCCCTGCCAAAGTAAATTTAAACAGTTACCTTCAGCATATGGAGTTCTTTTCTGATTAGATTAAGTTGCTGCAGGGAAAGCGGGTGCTGAAGGATTTTAATATTGAACATGAAGCAGGTGGGGTTGATACGGAAACCATAAAAAAATTTACGGCAGAAGTGAATAAAAGCACATTAGATATACGATTCTATTGGGCAGGAAGAGGGACAACCTCGATCCCTTTCAAAGGAGTATACGGTCCTCTTATTTCAGCCATTTCTGTGAATCCTAGTAAGTTGTACAACTTCTACTACCTTTTTTTTTTCTTGTGTTAATGATTTGGGATTGACCTCATCTAGCCATTACTAACTTAACAAATTTCACATTTATCTGCATCATGCATCAGTTATACTAAACCATGGTAACAGAAGTTGAAACTATATTCTCAATGTGGAAATTAAATTGTGTTTACACTTATTTATATGAAATGGTTAACAAACTCTAACTGCTTTCCTAACTACTTTACAGTTGTATTGCCATCTCTCTTATATCTATACAACTCTTTCTCTCTCTCTTGTTGCTTCAGAACTCGTGGCTTCAGTTGTATAAGAGAACATATTTTCTACTGTGGCGTAGGTAGCTTATCATCCCCCTCAAAGTAATGGGATTAGGCATAACCATTAGTTTGTCTTTGAGATAATGAAACCTGAAAGAGGTTAGGGGCTTGGTGAATATATCAGCCAGTTGATCAGCAGTAGGGATGTAAGATAAAGCAATTTGCTTAGAAACAACTCGTTCCCTAATAAAATGGCAATCCACTTCAATGTGTTTTTCATGGAGAAAGTAGTGTGCATATGAGTGATGAGAGAATGAATGACCAAAGGATCACTACTAGTTAGTAAAATATCATCAACATAGATGAGTAAAATGATAATATGAGTAGGAGTGTGTCTGACAAACAAAGAAGGGTCAGAGGAACTAAGTTTGAAGCCTTGGCCAAGTAAAAAGAAGAAAATGTGGAATACCAAGCTTGAGGGGCCTGTTTAAGACCATGTAGAGCTTTTTGAAGCTTGAAAACATGATGAGGAAATGCTAAGTCAATAAAACCTTGTGGTTGAACCATGTAGACCTCTTCCTCAAGTGTACCATGCACAAAAGCATTAGATATATCAAGTTGTTTAAGTGGCCATTGATGCTAAAGAGCTAGACAGAGGAGAATGACATCTCAATGATTTTATTCTTCTATAAATAGAAATTGACATCTCAATGATTTTATTCATGTCAAAATGTGGTCATTTTTTGTCAGCCTTCTCATCTTTGCTGGGGATATTGTTGGATAGTTCCACATTCCAACTAAGCAAAATGATCTTACATTTTTGTTCATTTACAATTGTTAGTTAATAAAAGTGATTCAAATTGTGGGAGTTCTTTTGAGTTTTGACTTTTGAACAAGAGTAACCATGTGACTACGTGGTAATGGAATTATTTTAGTTGTATCTTAGCCTTTACTACAATGTCAGGCAAACCAGGAAACCAATAAATGTAAGCATGAGGTTTTTCTGTACATTTAAAATGTGAAGTATATAGAGAGAGAAAGGATAATAAATTATTGTTCTTTTTCCCTTTTGATTGTTTTTTGTTCACTTGGATCCCATTTGTTAATCACCTTAACAATTTCATCTCGTTGGTGTATTTGTTATTGGTTCATGCAGATTTTGATCCATTAGAGAATAGGAGTAATGCATCTGCATCAGGAAAGGGAAATACTATATCTGCAGGCAATATAGTTGGAATTGTGGCTGGAGTAGTATTTGCTATCTTCCTAATGCTGGGTATTCTTTGGTGGAAAGGATGTCTACAACACAATAATACGATGGAACATGGTAATTTTAAATCAACTATGGATAATTATGATAGTAATGATTATCATACTCACCATCAATGGTGTTTTTTTTTTTTTGGTTTGGGGGGGGGGGGGGATAAAAAATTCAATGTCTATTATGTTATTTACCCCAGTAAGCACATTATGTAAACATATCATGGTTCAATAATTTTTATTGTCCAGAACATTTTTTTAGAATCCAAACGAGTGTTTGGTTCAGTGGAATGAAGGTTGGAATGGAATTGTCATTTGATTAGAACATTCATTCCCATGTTTGGTTCGGTAAAAAGGAAAGAAATGTACATTCCAAATTGACTCACCATTCACCAATTTAGGAAAATGGTCATTCCATTGGGAGGTCGATGAATAGCCATTCCATTCCTGCCCAAAATCATCAAGTCTACCAAACACTACCTTTGGAATTAGGATTAATGCAGTACAAGTTCGGTTTGCTCATTGTGGGAGTTCTTTATTTAGACAAAATTATGATGTCCAGGTCAAGTGAGACTTGTTGAGCCTCTTGACTTTATTGAATGTGCTTACTTATCTAGTTAAGCTTCCACAGATCTGAAGGGTCTAGACCTACATACTGGTTCATTTACCTTAAGGCAAATTAAAGCTGCCACAAAGAATTTTGATGTTGCTAATAAGATTGGAGAGGGTGGTTTTGGTCCGGTGTACAAGGTATCTTGTGGTAGATTTACTTTTTCCCGGTGTTAATAGTAATTCAACTATTCGTAATTGACATTGTTTTGAAATGAAGGGCCTTTTATTGGATGGCACTATGATTGCTGTGAAACAGCTTTCTTCCAAATCAAACCAAGGAAATCGTGAGTTTGTGAATGAGATAGGCATGATTTCTGCCTTACAGCACCCTAATTTGGTAAAGCTCTATGGATGTTGCATTGAAGAAGATCAACTGTTGCTAGTATATGAGTACATGGAAAACAACAGCCTTGCTCGTGCTTTGTTTGGTAAATTTCAACCTCATGCTTCACTCTATTGCATGCTTTTGGTATCAGAAAATAAACACATGTTTTAGTGTATTAAGATTTTTGAGTTTTTAATCATTTGGTGATATGAAGGACCTGAAGAACACCGGTTAACACTAGATTGGCCAACTAGGAACAGGATCTGTATTGGTATTGCAAAAGGTTTGGCTTATCTACATGAAGAATCAAGACTGAAGATTGTCCACAGAGACATCAAGGCCACTAATGTGTTGCTTGATAGAAATCTTAATCCTAAGATATCCGACTTTGGTCTTGCAAAGCTTGATGAAGAAGAGAATACCCACATAAGCACTCGGATTGCGGGAACTTAGTAAGCGGTCAAATTATTATTTTTGTTATCAAATTATTTATTTTATATTTTTGATTGATAATGTTCTTGTTATTATCATTGCTATGATTATTGTTGTTGCAACCAACGAATTCATTGCCTAAAGTTCCCAAAAAAAAAAAGAAAAAAGTATCATAATTTGTTTCCCCAGAAATCCTCAAAGGCAATGACCTAATTTTAGATATGCCCTTGTGGAAATAAAGCAGTGCATATTATTGACTACATAGATAGAGGTATATACATGACAACATGTCATAAAAACAATGGTGATGTTTTATTTTGTATTTTGCAGTGGGTATATGGCACCTGAATATGCAATGTGGGGTTACTTAACTGACAAGGCGGATGTTTATAGTTTTGGAGTTGTGGCCTTAGAAATTGTTTGTGGGAGGAGTGCCACTGGTAGTTATAGGAGAAAGGAGGATTTCATTAATCTTCTTGAGTTGGTAACCTATAAATCTTGCTTTGTTTTGTGTATTGTTTCTTGTCTTAATTATTTGCATTGGTAGAAGTATATCAAGGAAATGTTTCTTTGAAAAGCTTGTGTTTGCACAAAAAATCAATCCTTTATCAATAAGAAATATATTTATTCTTAAAGATGGGAAAAATCAACTAATTTGGTTAATTAATTCTTATTTGGATGTCCTTTGTATTTGAGTGGTCCTGTTCATAATTATAGAACATTTTAATATAGTAATTAGCTTTAATAAATTATTGCTTTAGTATAAAATGTGAGACTTCCTCATGTTTCTTCATGTGGAAATTTTTAGGTTTTCTTGAAATAATAAAATAGAATGCGTTTTAGATATTGAATTTCTATATCAAAAGCTTGCAACTTTTCATTTTCCATTAAAACAAACTGTCCTCTGTGTGTGTAGGCACTAGACTTAAAAGAGAAAGGGAATTTGATGGAGCTAGTGGATCCGAGGTTGAAATCAGATTTCAACAAAGAACAAGTGATGGTGATGCTTAATGTAGCTCTGCTATGCACTAATGCCATAGCAACAATTAGGCCTACGATGTCTTCAGTGGTAAGCATGCTCGAAGGCAAAGCCGAGGTTCAAAGTTTTTCAATTGATGGAATAGAGCCCGAGAAGACAGATAATCGGTTCCAATACAGCCCTGAAATGAGCACGAGTGACAGCCATTGCCACGGTGTCTCAACTGATAGGCCATGGACTGACACCACATCTACCTCTGATCTTTACCCACTCAATTTGAGTTCTCAATGGCAAATGAGAGATTGAAGTGTTTGTTACACATCCTCTCAATTGTTTTTGCATATGTATAGACATTGCAGTTGTATGTCCATTTTGTTATGTTTTTCTGACTACTATTTTTTTTCTCTCTTTACTTTCTTAGTGCTTGAATCCATATGAATGCATGTCAGACTCTGTAAAGCAAGAGTCGGTTATTTTAGATTCTTTGTTTTTGGTCCAATGATTTATTTATTAGTATATGTTGTGTTTTGTTGTTGTTGTTGTTGTTGCGTCGTAGGTTGTTTGTTTTTGTTTTAGTTGAGGCTTATTTGGAAGATGGTCTTGTGTTGTGATGAAAAAAACTGCCTACGACTACAATATTGCCATTTGCTAAGAAAAGAACTTCAATAATCACATTTGATGACAAATAATCTTTATGGTTATTGAAGATGGTCTTGTGTTTGTGATTATTGAAGTGTGGAAAGGAAGGTTGAGTGGTGTATGTATAATAATTATGAGTGAAGGGCGTAATTGTAACTTTTAGTGTGTGAATTGAGAAAATTAATTAATAATCAAATTAATAAGTATGTGTACTAAGAGAAGATATGCACTGAGACAATTAAGTGTGTGGAAATAGAATTTTTTTCTAATTTTTCTGTTATTGTTACTTTGCTTGCTACACACTATATATTCATCTATTTCTTGCAAATCAATATTTTCATAATAACTTTCATATTGTTTTAATATTTAGATTATTAGTGATGAACATATTATTTTTTTATTTTCTTTTTTCTTTTCGCTGTTTTCAGTTGGACAGCTAGTGTTGAATTATTTTGTTATTTCGGACATCAACTGCTGAATTACTACATTATATTCAAACATCAACTGTCGAAAGTTTTCTTTTTTTTGGAACAAATTTGTTGAACTAATAACTTTTATTCGGAAGTTAAGTTTCAAATTAAATGCATAATTTGGAAAATCAATGTCGAAATCTCCAAACCGAAGAACATAACCAAAAAAAAAAAAAGTGTGGAAATTATTATGAGTGGTGTGTACAATGATTATAACTTTTAGTATTTGGAATTTGTTGAACTAATAACTTTTATTCGGAAGTTAAGTTTCAAATTAAATGTATAATTAGGAAAATCAATGTCGAAATCTCCAAACCGAAGAACATAACCAAAAAAAAAAAAAAGTGTGGAAATTATTATGAGTGGTGTGTACAATGATTATAACTTTTAGTATTTGGATTGAGAAAATTAATTAATAATCAAATTAAAAAGTGTGTGTATTGAGAGAAAATGTGTATTGAGGTAATTAAGTATGTGGAAATAGAAGCCTTGTTTGGTTTGACTTTGGGAAAAAAAATTTGGAGAAAATTTTTGAGAATTTTGTTTACTTTGTAATTTTTCTCAAAAAATTTTCAAAATCACTCTCTCTCTCCTACACATCAATCAATCATTTTTTCTTTCTTCTATCTTCTTTTCAATCACTTTTTCTCTCACATACATGTACTCAATTACAACAAAATATCAAATCATCCCAAACTCCAAAACTATTTTCAAAATATACAACCAAACAAACTACAAAAATTTCTAAACTCTCTCATGAAAATATTTTTTGAAAACTCATCTCCCAAAATCAAACCAAACAAGGCCAGAATTTCCCTGATCTGTATGGTTATCTATCTTTATCTATACTATAATATAACCAAATGTAGTTGTTAGGTCAAAACACTCCAAAATTTGAATCCTATATTCTTATAATTTTGGACAAATAAAATAAATTCATGACACATCTCTTTACTCCTCTTCTCACTATTCAAGTCTTTGTTAGAAATGGTTGGAAAAAATCTAGAAATAAAACATAATTTTTTTCTTAACTTTGGTCTATTTTTTAGGTGGAACCCGTGCACCAAAATTGGCGGGTCTAAGTGGTAACGCGTTCTATGTCACGTTGTGATTCACGTGGTATATTTGGTTGCTTAAAACCATTATCGGGTGAATGGAAAATTGAAGCCAAAGTGAGCTCCATGGAAATGGAGTTTTTGGTGAAAATTCCTTAAGGTTTGAATCACTACAACAAAAAGCATTTTTGGCGACGTTTTTTAGCAACCAAATTGAATTTAGTTGCCAATTGTATGTTTTTGGCGACAATATACGTGTTCGTTGCCAAAACCTACACCATTAGCAACAAATATCTAAATTCGTCGCCAAAAATGGTTGGCGCGAAATTAATTTTTTGGGCGGGAGCGCTAAAAAAGTTTTGGCGACGAAATTAACATTTGGCGACAAAAATGTTTGGGAAACTTTGAGTGGGTTTATAAGGCTTGGAGTTGGAACTTGAGGTAGGCCCCAAGGGGCACCCAAGTTTTGTAGAGAGGGAGGTTATGGGAAAAATGAGTTAGACCCATTAGACCCAAAAATCAGCACGCGCGTGCACTGCCGTCCGTCCGGTCGACTGCAAGTGCGTGGTTCGGTTGGGTTTGTTCAGCCCAATACTAATCTTTTTGGGCCAAAAACATTTGAATTTAATTTTATTTTTTCAAATAAAATCTGTCCAAACAATTCGAAATTAATTTTGAATTTCTGTCCAGGTTAATTTCAATTTTTGAAATTCAAAACAGTTTGCCCCTATGTCCAACAGATCCGAATCTGTTACAAACCCAGAACAGGTTTTGTTCAAAATTCAAACACAAATAGATTCATATCTGTTTAAATTCAAACCCAAACAGTACCAATTCAAACCCAACAGGTTCAGTACCTGTTCAAACAAGTATGCTACCTGTTCAATTCAAAATAAAAGAGTGCCACTACATCTATAAATACACTAGCCCTCATTTGATGTTTTCATTCAAATTTTTCGTCCAAATAATTCTGCAACTATTCTCTACATATTGCTGCATTATTTTCTCGTGAGAAAAGTGTAAAGACTTAGTGTGTTTGTTGTACATATAAATTGTAGTATTGCATTTATTCGTTGATTGATCATTTTATCCTGGGAGATAGACGTCCACATTCTGTTAGCACCGTAGAGAGGACGAATCTGTCTTAAGGACACAATGTCAAACACTGAACTTGATCAGAATATTGTTCTACAAATTAATCAAGTAAGTTGTTAATTTATTTTCTGTTTTATTTATTTAAATCAGATTTTGATTTTGTTTTTGTAAAAAAATAAAATCTTTTTTTATGTATTTAATTTTATTTCTTGTTTGATGTTTGTAATTAAATATTATCCCTCATTTTCTTTATTTCTTTTGTATTCTGTTTGTTGTTCAGTACACAAACAGAATTTATTTTCTCAAATACAGTGAAGATTTTCCAACAATCTTAAGACAGATTAATTTTTTTTGGTATTTTCATTGTATTTAATTTTCTGTGTTTTCGCAAAGTTATATTTTGGTTGGAAAACAATAGTAGTAATATACTGTTTGACAGATAGTAGTAATATACTGTCTATTTTCTTTGACAACTAGTAGTAATATACTGGTGTCATTAACAATTGTAGAATATTAATTTGTGTTATAGAAAATTATTGTGGTATTTTATTTTTCTAGTTTTAGTAATAAGGAAAATAAAATTATTTTGTGTTATAATTTATTTTCTAGTTTTAGTAACTAGAAAATTAATTTGTGTTTTGGTTTTTACTGATTTTTGTAATCAGATATTATGGCTACTGCAACTGGAAGTGGTACTCCAATTGTTACACCAACTCCGGTGCCTATCCAGAACCATGTTCAAGTTCTAATAAATCATGCAGGAAAACTGGAAAAATTTAATGGCACTGAGTTTACGAGATGGCAGCAGAAAATGCTGTTCTATCTTACAACTCTAAATTTGGCCTGGTTTCTCCGTGAAGAGGCTCTAGTACTGAGAGAGGATGAAAGTGATCGGCAAGTTGTTGCCACTGCAGATGCTTGGAAACATTCAGATTTCCTGTGCAAAAACTACATCCTCAATGGCCTTGACAACATGTTGTACAATGTTTATAGCCCTCTGAAAACAGCAAAAGAATTGTGGGATTCTTTGGAGAAGAAATACAAAACAGAGGATGCCGGCACAAAGAAATTTGTTGTCGGTAAATTTCTGGACTTCGTTATGATAGACTCCCAAACGGTAATTTTTCAAGTTCAAAGTTGTCAATTGATTTTACATGATATTGATTTTGAGGGTATGTCTTTGAGCGAGTCTTTCCAAGTCGCTGCTTTAGTAGTGTTAGGTTTTCATTCTTGGCAACCCCGTTTGACAAAACTCCTTTAAGTTGTATTTGTTTTCGCACTTTTTATCTCAGTGAGATTATGAGCGTTTAGATGCGAATCCAACCCGAATTGTGCTTTGCAGAGAAGTTTTGTGATGTTAATTCTTTCAAAATGCAAAAATGCATTCAAAGTTGCCTGTCCGCTCGAGTAGACATTGCCCCATTTGAGCGGAGAATGCTGGGTTTTAGAAGTTTGTTCGCCTGCAAAAATACTGGATGTTGTTTTTTTCCGCTCGAGCGGAACTTTCCACACTCGAGCGTAGGTCCGCTAGAGCGGCCAATCTGACGCTCGAGCGGAGATCGCGGGACAGTTTTCTATAAATACGTGTTTCAGTCCAAATCTAGGATAACTTCTCCAGATCTTCTTTTTGGATATTAAGGTTTATATCTGGGGATATTTTGCTAGTTTTCTATGATGTTTAATTGATTATTCAACTCATGGGTTAAGAAGAATACATGAAAGGTTTGTTTGTTCATTCTATACAAAAGAGAGAGTTGTTCTTCGGTGGATTCTGAAGAATTCGAGCCTGAAGCTTTGGTGGATTCTGGAGTGACTCATCGTCAAGACAATTCCGAGGTTAAGACGGGGTTGGAAGAGGCACATAGGGGTTGGTTCAATTCGGGCGTGGATTCGCTAGGTAATTGAGAGTATACCTGTGTAATTTCTTTATATCTTCTTAGTGGATTGTTTTGTGGCTGTTGCCCATGGTTTTTTTTATCACAATTGGAGGTGCTCTAATTGTGGTTTTTCCATTTTAAAATCGTTGTGTCAATTTGTCTTGATTGTTTGATTGAGATTGTTTTATTGCTTTAAATTGATACATAATCACAAATCAATATCTAGCGGATTTCTAGATTTTTCAAGTAGAAAAGTTACCACCGGCTTGGAAAGATTTAAAAAATTATTTATAACATAAACACAAAGAGATGACCATGGATGAACTTATTGTAAGACTGAGAATTGAGGAAGATAATCGTAAG